TCTTCTTCTGAAGAACATAATATGGAAGGTCTGGGATATTTTTTAAACGCAGGCTAGAGTGAAAGGCTGGCTGGCATTTACCACAGCCAGGAGCCACCACTGCTGTGGAGAAGCCTGCTGCTCCTTGATGCCCTGTTAGCAGTACATCTCTGCTTTTACTTCAAGTGTATATTGCCTGGCAAGGAGTAGGTTTTGATGACAAAATGTTTCAAAGAATCTGACTTTTTATGTAGTGCTTCCTCTTTCTTTTACAGTTGGTTCATTTTCTTTTCCCCCCTCCGTTTCCTCACTTCTGCTTTGTAACATGATAGAATGGATGCAGCTTGTCTTTGGATAAATTCCTTGCCTCTGTTCATACTCTTCTCCCTGGAACCTGCCAGGTTGATTATTCCCATAGAGCCATGGAGTTGGTTCCTCCAACAGACAAAAAGTCTGCAGTTCCGCCTAGCAGCTGGCTCATGCAGTACTTAATTGGCAAACTTCGAGTTTATAAATGACAGGAAATGCTCCTTTCAGAAATGCTCAAACAGTAGGGAAGAGGCAATTGGCAGCTAGTGAGCAGAGCAAGAGCTGGAGTTGGCACACAGCGTCATCCACACAGCAACATCCATAGCTTGACGGTGTTGGCAGCTTGCTTTGGGGTTGGCAGAAGTTAGATCAAGTGCTGTTGTCTTAATTTTGGTAGTGCCTTTGGAGTCTTCCCAAAAGTCTCCAAATAATAGCATCATCTTAAAATTGCTAACTTCCTGCTTATGGAAGAGGCAAGAAAGGTGAGCAGTTCCTTAGGTCTTAGCTAGTTTAAGGTGCTCTTCAAGAAACAAAATATGAGTTGAAAGGAATTTTTAGATCAGATGACTGTTTGGTGGAATCTCTTAGTCCTTCTGAGGATTTCTTGCTATGGGTACAGCTCTTTCGTCAGTAAACAATTTCAAAGTAAATAATTCCTTGCACACATAAATTACCTCCAAGAGGCCCTGATAACTTCTTATGGGGGGAAAGTTTCTTTGCCCCCCCCCCTTTTTTTTAAAGATTTCAATACTCTTTTTAGGTCATGGAGTTGAGTAAACTCAATTCCAGTTCCAGACCAAAATCCATTAAAACAAAACAAACAAAACAAAGAAACCCAGAAGTATCTATTTTACAAGCCCAAGGAAAACACTGGCGTCCCTCCAGGTTCCTGCAGGCTGCTCTTGTTGGCTGGCATGCACGTCTCCATGCCTTTGTCATGTCTTAGGTTCTGTTCCCCACAAAGTAAATACACTTAACCTTACTGTTTGCTCATTCTTGTATCATAGATGATTAGGAATTACTCATGGGCAGACTGCACCAGTTATGCAAACTTTCAGTTGAGCAGCTTTGTTCTTTTGTTTTTTTAAGCTCTAACACAGAGTCTGCCAACAACTCCAAAGGAAGTTCTGCCGATAGGCATCTGGCAGAAATCCACTGGGAAGCAGCTTGTGTCCTGTGAATATCCTTCACCTCTGAAGGTTTAGGAAAAAGGGTCCGAGATAATGCAGCTAACATTAACTTAAAGGCAGTGTGTGTAAGAGCAAGGGCAATGCTGATGAGTTTTTTCAAGCTCCATCTCGAGAGACTTGAATTCACAGGTGGAAGAGGCTTATCATACCCATTGTTCTGGTTTTAGTTTTGTAAGTAAACATGAAGTTATCTGCTTATCTTACGGCCCGAGTCCTGAAAACATGGCTTAATATGCTGAATCCCACGTAAGACTGCTTTGTACCAGAGAGCCAGTGTCATGATTGTCAAGGGGACAGGATGTTTATGTGAGGTCCTTATATTCTCAGAGGAAAATTTCCTTTAAAAATAATTTAGGGTCAGGGAGATGCCTGGTGGATATGGAATTGGAGCAAAGGGAACTGGGTGATGTTCAGAAATGTCTTCATCAAGACATCTGATGAGTCAACGTTTTATTATGGTGCCAAGAGGACACGTCACTGTCAGACTGGGCACCACCTCCTGGGGTGCTCAGTCTGCTTCCCTCGGATGCCTTTTGTATTTGACAGGTTCTGCTGCTGTTTTCATCCCTGTGCAGAACACATTTCTGTCTATATACTGATTCTTTCTTCAGGTCTTTGCCCCTTCTTACTCTTTGGTTTTGGTCCTTTGGACCTTCTCTACTGACCACCATTACTTTTCCAAACTTTACACAACTTTTCTCTTAAACCCCCAACACCTCAACAAAACAAATGCATAGATACCTTTCATCACTTGTGGAGAGATGATTTACCTTTTGTTCAGCCTTTGAGTTTTGACGACATCGTCTTTGCCTCCGAGCAGTGGTCTTCAGTACTTTCCAGGCTGAGACATGCTGGAGCTCTGCTGGCTGGTCTCACGCTCAAAGGATGATGCCTGTTACCTGCATCCTCTGAGGACATTCATAAGTCGCTCTCCGGGATTAGTCACAGGAAAAGTAGTGTTTACTAAGCAAATGAAGTTTTTCTCTTATAGACATGGTAAATCATGCAACTGATTTTTTTTTTCTTCTCTTAATTAGCTGCTAAGAAGCTGAGAGTCGAATTTGTGTACTAGCATTTCTGGCTTCATCTTATCTCTTCTGTTAGGTCCCTATGCTCTTATTTCTTCACCTTTGTTTTATCTTTTTAGGTTATGTGTACTTTGTAAGCAGCATAAAATCTTACTGGAACAAGGCCCATAAAACAAATAATTATAGTCACAGCAAAATACAGTGGGACAGATCTGGGCAAGTTATACCTTAGATTTAGGCTGATCATTTAAACTCCTCTCCCCTCAAAAAGTAAATAATTCAAAAGAACATGATATGGATGTTCTCAGTGACACAAATTTTTAGATCCTAGCTTTACTTAAAAAAAAGAAAAATTGGTTAAGCCCTGGCCAGTGTCTCCCTCAGTTGGTTGAGTGTCATCTCATGCACCGGGAGAATGCTGGTAATAGATGCTGACATTGAACACAGTTTATGGTCAGTGTCAGCATTAATTCAGTTAGTCTATCTAGTTATTAAAATACGATAGGCATTAAAGGGTCCCTCAAGAATAAATGGCGTATGCTAACTGCATAACACACTGGCAGGCTGAGGTATGTTGCTTTCCGAAAAAAGACATGGTTCTTATGACTTAGAAATACTGATGAAGTAGTTTTATTTGGTGTTCTTCACTGATGGATAGCAATAGTAGTCACCTGACCAAGCTGTGCAGGACAAGCCCCTATTACAAACCTCCACAGGCAAGAGTTGTGATTTAAAAAAAAAAAAAAAAGTTTAGTGATAAGGCAGTCTTCTGATGTTTATTCTAAGAATGCTCTAGAGCAGCGGTTCTCAAACTGTGGGATCTCGACCCCTTTGGCGGTTGAACGACCCTTTTGCAGGGGTCACCTAAGACCATCCTGCATATCATATATTTACATTCCGATTCATAACAGTAGCAACATTACAGTTATGAAGTACCAAGGAAAATAATTTTATGGTTGGGTCACAACATGAGGAACTGTATTTAAAGGGCCAGAAGGTTGAGAACCACTGCTCTAGAGCTACAAAAAAAGACTTCATTTAGCTGACAACTGTGTTGTGTGTGTTATGACATCCTGGGAACATAGGGAATACCAAAGAAATACCAAGCTATAAAGAATATAGTGCGTCTATTTAGACAGATGCTGAAGAAACAAAATCCAGTACTCAGAGAAAAATCCAATGGTTTTTAGTAAGAATATTTCCTGGAGTTGAACTTTAGGTTCTCTTACAGGAAATATGAGGTACATGGTGAGGCTATAAAGGAACAAACTCAAGATAAGCAGAGTTTAGATGATTTTCATTTGTAGAAAACTAGGTGTGGGGTCTAGAATCATACATTGCTGTGTTTTTCATAAGTGTGAAAGGCATGGTTTAAACTAAAATACCCCCTTAATATACTGACTGCAAGATACATTTATTAGCATGAGAATTTGGAAATATCTGTCAGTTTTAAATGGTTATGCTCTGATACAGCATTTCTAGTACATAAAATTTTAGAAGCATTCGTACAAGGGCACAAGATTTATGTTTAAAGATTTTTACATGAATTAGTGAAAAATTGGAAACCAGACTTTATGAAGGTATTTATTTTAATGCTCACTTGAAGATATAGACATAGACATGAGAGATACATTGATTGGTTGCCTTCTGTACACGCCCCATCTGGAGGTGGAACCCGCAACCTAGGTATGTGCCCTGATTGGGAATTGAACCCACGATCTTCTTTGCATGGGATGACACTCCAACCAGCTGAGCCACATCAGCCAGGTCATGTTTTTTTTTAAATTGATTTTTATTTTTTGTTAATCCTCACCCGAGTATATATTTTCTTTTTTTTTTTTTTAAGAGAATGGAAGGGGTGGGGGGAAGAGAGACATCAATGTGAGAGAGACACATTGATTGGTTGCCTCCTGTACACGCCTACCAGGGATCCTATGTGCCAGGACCAGGAATCAAACCCACAACCTTTTTTTGGTATATGGGACAACACTCTAACCAACTGAACCACCTGGCCAGGTGAAGGTCTTTAAAGTAGTGTCCTCAGATATAATGCAATAACTGTCAGGTTAAGGTGAAGGAACAGTGGATTTTTTTCTTGACTTTTCTGTGATGTGATTTTATTCCCATAACTTCATTTACTTGTTAGAATCTTCCTTGGATATAGTGATGGGGGAATCTTCATTGTAAACATAATCTGTGCCTCTATTGCAATACATTTAAACTTTATAACATTTATATAACTTTTAAATCTATAATTTGGTGACATTTTAAAGAAAATTGTGTACAGAAGTGATAATTTAGATGCAAGTGCTTTCAGGATGAGCATATAAATAAGATCTTCTCAACGTGTTAGGTAAACTCACGTCAGTTTACTGCAGTGGTTTCCCAACTGTCCCGATATTCCTGCTGTATGCGAAGCCCCCCTCCCTATGCCACCGATAATAGCCTGATTGTATGCAACAAGCATGAATGTCCTGTGTTTCTTTCCCGACAGCAATCAGAAACGGAGACTGTTCATCTGTTTATCCCAGCCTTATCTGTCGGTGCCATTATTGGCAAGCAGGGGCAGCACATCAAACAGCTTTCTCGCTTTGCAGGAGCTTCTATTAAGGTACTGTTCTGCCAACTGTGGCTGCCCTGGAGCTTTAAATACAGTCAGTTACAGAAACATGAGTCTTCTTGACACCTCATACTTGGAATTGAAGGTAGAGTCTGTCCTGAGGTTACTTTACTTCATATGGTACTCAGTGCGATACTTGGAGGGAATTTACCAGTTGTCTAAATTTATGAATTTATCAGTTTCTTGCTCACACAAGACACTTGGGGAGCTCTGATGCATGAGGACCAAAGACCACACTCTGAGTAGCAATGGTGTAGTGATAGGGGCATGGGCGGTGGAGATACAGACCCAGCTCTCCCTCCAGCTCTATTAGCTGTGTGATCATGGGCCAGGTAATGCAACTGCTCCAGCCTTCCGTCTGCCCATATGTATAGAGGCAATACCTCGTCAGGATGTAGTGAGGATTAGTGGAGGGGCTGCAAACGGACTTTTACATTAGGACCAGGCATAATGTAAGGACAAGTGTGTGGCAGGAGCAATAACTAATAAACCCACATTAATTATTGCCTCTTCATAACTTCCTTCTGGAAGGCTTTGTACGTATCACTAAGTCAGGTGCAAATGTCAGGCTGGTTTGTGTCACCTTTCTGTCATAACCCCTTGATGGGTCTGTTCCAGATTGCTCCAGCTGAAGCCCCAGATGCGAAAGTGAGGATGGTGATTATAACCGGGCCACCGGAGGCCCAGTTCAAGGTATGTGCTCTGGAGTCTGTGCACAGGGAGCAAATGAATGGATGTGGAGAATATGAAAGCCTTCTTTTCAGGAACACTAACCGGGCTTCTCCCTTCAATGTATTTCTAATACTCAGTAGAAACAATTTCTCGATGGAAATTTCTAAGACTAAGAACAGAGTAGAGGAACAATTTGAGATCTTGCTTGCCAGCCACTGTGGTCAGTTTGGCACACATACAATCTTATAAAAATTAGTAGAATTGTATACTTGAAACATAATTTTTCTGACCAATGTAACCCCAATAAATTAAATTGAAAAAAAAAAAAAAAAGAGTAGAAACAAACCAAAGCCTTTGTTTTAATTTTGAGAGTTCTGTTGTGGTTTTTGGATTTACCTGTCTTCCGAAAGAGAATTTGCTCAAAGCCTCGTTATCATATGTGAAGGTGAGCCCTTAATACTGAAATTTACAAACCTGCCTGGTTAATATGCCTTGGAAAACTTGTTCTCAAATTTTCCTTGTCCCTGAGAAGCCATAAACTTGAATTAAAATGTCTTTTCCTAACTGTTAGCCCCAGTTCATCGTCTCTCTAATTACTCTTGTCCAATTAAACTTAACTCTGACTTTTTTCCTTTGGTACAAAGCAGAGCAAATTAATGGTTATACACCATTGGGGAGGTTTCTTATGTGTAACTTCTAGTTGTATGCAGGAGGTGACAGGATGTGCTGACTGTAAATATCAGAAGTATATGTTAACTTTTTATAGTCTTATTCAAAGTAGAAACCATCTGGTTAAGAGGAAAAAACAAACTATTTCTCTCAGCAGGTTTCTCACTGGCCCATTTAGACAAGAACTGGCTTCCTGTGAGCCTAGCACAGCTGGCTCTGTAGTTCTTCCCTAGTCTCTTCTGCTCAGAAAGATATAATTACTTATTGCCTGGAGGAGAGGTTTTACCTTTCAGATGGAGAGCAAATGCCTTTAACTGTTGTGTAAAGAATAGGGTTCATTCTTTCATCAACATTCAATTGACTCATCTATGACATGCAGTTACCGTCAACCTTTTCTTGGGCTTCCTAACTTCTCAGTCTCTTACGCAGTCTTCAGTCTATCAAATGCAGACGTATCACTGGCAAAGGACTATTCCGTAGACTTGGGCAATCTTTAATGTTAAAGAACTTTTTGTCTCCTACGTGAATAACACTGATTCATTGGCCATGTTCTCATCTGTAGGCTCAGGGAAGAATTTATGGAAAAATTAAAGAAGAAAACTTTGTTAGTCCTAAAGAAGAGGTGAAACTTGAAGCTCATATCAGAGTGCCATCCTTTGCTGCTGGCAGAGTTATTGGAAAAGGAGGCAAAACGGCAAGTACTTCAGCAAAACCTGTGCAGTGGTATGAAAGGGAGAGCGTTGAAAGGTACTTAGGAGTTCCAAGTCCCTGAATTTTGGCTAATTTATAAAAAGCAGGACCATCTGGGCCAAGGTTCGGAGAAGACTGTCTTTTGTTCCTCCTGAGTGTTGGTGTCAGCTACTGGTGAAAGTAATGCCTCTCTTTCAGACCACTTTGTGTGAGAAAACTCATTTATAAGGGGCATTCAGCATTTTTCTGTTGACATAACTCAGCTTTTAATTTTTATTGCACAGTGACATGAGAAAAAATTTTTTTAAATTTCATCTTTTATAACTTGTAACTCTATAACCGAAAATTGTTTCCCAGTTTTAATGCATGTAACTAAGTCATTTTCAAAGCTATTTACAATTTTGAAGTGATTGAAAGTGTACACTTTGGAAGCAGACTCTCAGGGTTTGAATTTGGTTCTGTCGTTCACTTGTGTAACTTTGGGCAAATCAGTTTCTTTCTTAGCTAAGCCTTAGTTTTCATCGTCTTGCAATGGGGACAATATTACTAACTGTACAGAATCATTACTGGATTGGGTGAAATTTGTAAAGCCATAGCTAGTGTTTGGCATAGTAAGTGCTCAGGAAATGGTAACAAAAACAAAACAAAACTTAACATGATTTATATTTATCTTTTTCAGGTGAATGAGCTCCAGAATTTATCTAGTGCAGAAGTTGTTGTCCCTCGTGACCAGACGCCTGATGAGAATGATCAAGTGGTGGTCAAAATAACTGGTCACTTCTATGCTTGCCAGGCAAGTGGGCTCTGATGTGATACGCAAGCTCTAATGCTTTTTTCCCAAATGGAAACAATTTTCCTGTGGGTACCAAACACTTAAAAAATTTTTTGTAATTGATTTATATTTTCAAATGAGTTGGTTTAATTTCAGGGGGTACAGAATTCGGGATAGAAAAAAGACTGAAGAACACACTTTGATAGGACTCTAGGCTGGGTCTACTGTGATCTCATAGCTAAGTTAAAAATGGCCAAGTGAGAAGAACTAAAGAGATGAACCACTGCATTATTACTATTAACAAAAGTTTTTTCTTAAATGTACCACAGGCTCCAAGACAACACTTCGTTCTAGCTCAGAGGTCCTCAAACTTTTTAAACAGGGGCCAGTTCACTGTCCCTCAGACATTCCACACTTGCGCACTGCGGGCCCGGGACGAGTCGGCTGCTAAGCAGGACAGGCAGCGGCGGCAAAAACACCCGGCGGGCCGGATAAATGTTTTCGGCGGGCCGCATGTGGCCCGTGGGCCGTAGTTTGAGGGCCCCTGTTCTAGCTTATAGGTGGCAAGAGATGTTATAACAGGGAATTCGGATGTTAAAATAAATGGAATTGCCTCAGGCCCAAGGACCAGCTCACTTTTTGCCAGATTTCTTAATTCCACTAATGGCCAGGAAACACTTTTATCCTGAGTTTCTTTTTATGCTTCTCCTGGAATGCCTTATCTTCCTCATCCACCTCTTTGCCACCCTCACAGAGGGACATGGCCCCTTCCCCAGAAACTGAGCTCTCCGTCACACCCCTGTGCCTATGCCTCCAGGTGGGCCCATTGATTCTAGTGCCAAACACTTCATTCTTCTTTTAGCAGGTGACTTCAGAGACTACTAGCAAACTAATTAGTATGGATAATTAATCTTCAAATAAACTTCTGTGTGAAGTTTTTGAAATGGGAAAGTAAACCAACTTTGAGTAACCGTTGATCAGGTGGAAATTTCAAAACTCTCTCCTTCTGTAGGTTGCCCAGAGAAAAATTCAGGAAATTCTGACTCAGGTAAAGCAGCACCAACAGCAGAGAGCTCTGCAAAGTGGACCACCTCAGTCAAGACGGAAGTAAAGGCTCAGGAAACAGCCCACCACAGAGGCAGATGCCAAACCAAAGACAGATTGCTTAACCAACAGACGGGCTGACCCCCCATCCAGAATCACATGCACAAGTTTTTACCTAGCCAGTTGTTTCTGAGGACCAGGCAACTTTCGAACTCCTGTCTCTGTGAGAATGTATACTTTATGCTCTCTGAAATGTATGACACCCAGCTTTAAAAAGATAAAAAAATAAGGGGGAGGGAGGAAAAGAGGAGCTCTGCACTTCCCTTTTGTTGTATTTTCAGTGTAAAAATTTTCTAATTTTTCTTAATAATTCCCATTTATGCAAGAAATTGGCTTAATGATGCACTCACTAAATTCATCAAGTAAAAATAGATTGCTCCTAAGTGAGAATAGAATTATTATAGGAACTTAAATGTTAAGGTATCAACGTAGAAAAACGTGTTTTATTTTTATCTAACACTAACATGAATAACGTAAGGGAAGTGCTGAATGGTGTTGGCAGGGGTATTAAATGTGCATTTTTACTCAACTACCTCAGGTATTCAGTAATGCAATGAAAGCAAATTTTGTGGGGTTTTTTTTTGAAATTTTTATATACTTTATAAAGATAAAAGTCCAACTGTTTTTTAAAAAATAAAATTTAATTAGCTAACAGGCAAATAAATGAAAAAAAATTTTTTTACTTCAGGCTGGTGACAGTAAAGCTGGAAAATTAATTTCAGGTTTTTGAGGCTTTTTGACAGTTTTTAGTTGGAAAATCCAATAAATGTCCAGTGACATGGAGCAGTGCCTATATTTGGAGAGCAGCAATACCATTTATTTTTTTTGTTTATGGTAGGGCAAGTTTTTGATGGTACTAACAGAGCAAAGTGGTCACAGGAAGTTTTGGAATGGCTAGTTTAAATGGCTTCAGGAGATGTCAATGTTTTTGTTTGGCTAAGTGATTGAGTGCATAATTGCTTTGTGCTTCTGACTATCACTACCTAAAGAAAGTGCATCAGTGGAGATATGCAGCCCCTGTGGACTTGAAACTGATTGGCAAAAAGCAAGCCCCAGCTTGTCTTACAGGATGCTTAGTTTGCCAATCCACCTCAGAGCAGTTGGTTTACCCTTTGAGCAGACCCCAAAAGAGTTGCTTGCGAAGACCAATGGGGCAGTCAGATGGTGTGAGTGTTTAAAGGCCATAAAAAGCTATATCTGCATGTGCCAGGCACTGCCACGAGCCTCACTAAGCTGTTTTGAAGATTTTTAAACAATGATAAAAAGGAAAGGCCACCTAAAATATTACATTAAATACAGCAGAATTTCTGTATTCTGTGCAACCAGTTATTGTAAGAAAACAATTTTTGGAATATAATTCGAATGACTGTGATAAAACTTTTGACCTGAACTCATTTGCCCATTCTGTAACTTGATGGCAAAACCCAGTATGTACAATTATGTGGGTGTGGGTGGTCTCCAAGACCACACTGCTCTCAGAATTGTTTGTGTTGCTTTTTGTTCATAAAAGGATCACAGTCATCATATTACATGGATCTGAAGGACATATATAATAACCTTTAAAAAATCATTTTGCCTCATTTGTATTTCAAAATGAATTTCTACAGACTAGGTAAGTTTTTCTGATGATCGGTGTATCAGACATTTTGGAAATGACTTGAAATGTTTTCCTAAATGTTTTCAGAAAACCAGTTTATTTTGTAGTGTTAGCCAAAAAGTGCCCTTTTTGTCACTGAATTCATCTAGCATTCATAATCCCCCCCAACCCCCAACAGCAAATTGCTTAAAAAATAATCATGGACTGGCTTTCGGGTTGGTTTTTAGGTGAGATGTGCTTATGGCCAGAACTCTTCCTCAGTATTTGATTTTGCCAATATTTGATGAGTTGTTTTTTTAAAAATACAGATAGGTGCTGCATTTATATCTGCTGGTTTAAATTCTGTCATATTTTACTTCTAGCCTTTTAGTGTGGCAAATCATGTTTTACTTTCAATTAAGCATTGGTAATGGAGTATCTGGTAATAGCTAGAAAATAATTCTGTAACTGAGTTTGTACTCACCGCATATGGATCATTCCTCATTTGTAATGTGCCCAAATGCAGCTTCATTTTCCAGACACCTTGATGCAGAATAAAGTTTTTCATCATTAGGTGCAGCTTGATGTGTAGTATGTTTTTATTTTCGATTTTTCAAATAAGTATGAATGTAAGTTATAAATTTAAACAGATTTTTAGTAATGCTATGTCATTCTCAAGTTAAGCACCAATATCTATTAGTTATTTTCTTTATTGCATGGTACTTAATGTGAACCTTGATAATACTGTTTGCATATGAACTAAGAATTATAGGGCTAGTTATGTGTTTTTGCTTTATTTTTTAAAATGTTATCTATTCCATTCTACCTAGTAGTACTTACATTTAAGCAAAATTAATTAAAAATCTGAGTAGAGCATTCAAGTGAAACATGGGGACCAGTGATAACTCCAGGAAATCCTCCTGGGATCTCAGGAACAAAGACAATATTAAAACTGTAGTTGAAGCTCGTTTACCTGCAATCTCCACATCCTGGTGTCAGTTAGCATGATGTCCACGGTCAGATAAGACTTGTTTTGATAATAACTTACCCAATTAGGTGGGGGTTAGGAGCTATATTTTTGAGAAGCGACTCAGTCTGAAATGAATAAACGAGTATTTTATTCACATTTGAACTCCATTGGAGTCAGGGAGGAAGGGTCATCTTCTATTCCAAGAATGAAGTCTTCAGGTAATGTCTCAGGTGCGATCTGAGCTAACTGGTCATCATAAGAACGCAGGGTCCATAACTTCTCCAGTTCATACATTTCTCTGGTCTCCGGAAGCATCAAATGAATCACCATGCTGCCTATCAGGACAGGTAAGAGTGACAAAGAAGAAGCAGTTTGTTTGCTGTTATGCTTGTGATCTCACAACCGTAATAGTTCATTACTCACAGTATAACTATAGGAACTCAAATAATAGTTCTCAAAGTGTGGACCACAGAAGAGCATCGTCTGAAAACTTGTTAGAAAACTGTGGGCCCCATCCAGCAAAATACCACCGAAATGCTGTGTTTTTGTCTCAGTGCATCACAGAGGAGGTACATGATTCCAATAGATACAAGTTAACTGTATCCAAGTGACTAGCCAGTCAGCTTTCTCTTGAGAATTCTCCAAATGTGTTTTGTTTTGGGCTTATTTTTTATAGAGAGGAAGGGAGAGGGATAGAGAGAACATCGATGAGAGAGAGACATCAATCAGCTGCCTCCTGCACACCCCCCACTGGGGATGTGCCCGCAACCAAGGTACATGCCCTTGACTGGAATCGAACCTGGGACCCTTCAGTCCACAGGCTGACGCTCTATCCACTGAGCCAAAGAAGTCAGGGCTGGGCTATCTTTTTTGAGATATTCTCTCTCTGGAGCAAAGGGCAGCTTTGCTTACACCAGTGGTTCTCAATCAAGGACATTTTTTTTAAAATGTGTATTTTATTGATTTTTTACAGAGAGGAAGGGAGAGGGATAGAGAGTTAGAAACATCGATCAGCTGCCTCCTGCACACTCCCCACTGGGGATGTGCCCGCAACCAAGGTACATGCCCTTGACTGGAATCAAACCTGGGACTCTGCAGTCCACAGGCTGACGCTCTATCCACTGAACCAAACCGGTTAGGGCTCAAGGACATTTTTGATTTGCACAATGGATGGGGGAGATGGGGAGGGATACTGCTAAACATCCTATAATGCACAAGATATTCCTACCCACTCCTACTAAAATTACCTGGTCCAAAACGTTGTGACAAAGCTGAGAAACCCTGACTTACAGCCTGACCAGAAAAAGTGTCTTCCACCAGAGCAAAAGCAGACCTGCTTCCTGCCCATCATAAACTATGTAAATACCCAGTTCCTCTCTTAGAACTGTGTGTACAGGCCCCATGTTGCTCTATAGAAGCTGGGGCTTAAGGAACCTGCTCCAAAAGCGCTGCTGTTGGCTACTGCTGTTATGAGTCCATCTCTCACCCTGGAGTAGCCTTTAGTCTTTTACCAATATCCAGATACTGGCCAGCTAACCTGTAAGTAAGATAAAATCTCAGACTCCTCACAGTTCTTGACAGTTACTATTGTATATATTAATACCCATCTTTTCAAATTCCAGTCCTATGTCTGGAGTGCCCTTCACCTCAGCCAAGTTATTTAAGGCCAAGGTTATATGTACCCCAAGCCTTCTAGCACCACTAAGGGATCTGTCCCATCTCTACCATGTTACCCATCCTGTTCTCTATCATCTTTCACCTCTTTGACTCATTACATACATACCAGGTTAGGTAAGCATTTCACATGTGAATAAGATCACCTGGGTTACAATGAAAACATTTCAAAAATTTTATATGGAAAAACAGCAATTTGATCTCAATCCTTCTGCAACTGAAAATAGTTCAATGCGTCAAAATAACTTACCAAAGTCCACACAGAGCCAGTCATCAGTGTCCTTCCCTTCAATTTTCACATGAGGCTCATTTTTACTTTTTAGGAATTTGTACTGAAAAAGGAGAGATTGTATATTAAAGGGAGAAGGGGTGGGGGAAATCTTACTGAGGTTCTGGTGGTATTTTTTCTTGGTCTTAAATTTGCCCCATAATTAATAACTTAGGAAAACTAGCCCCCCCCCCCCCCCTCCCAATTTCTATACCTCTCTACTGAATACCCCTGCCCAAAACCCTTCTGATAGGGCCACCCTACACATTCACCACAGTGTCTCTGGTGCACAGAGTCCTAAGTTCATTCAATATCTGGTCCTCACCTACATCATCCCGTCTGCCCATCCCAGCTTCCCTTCATTCTCAGGGGAGGCAGTGTTAATGGGACTTTCATCATGCCCACATCTATTCCCAACAGATATATTATTAATGTCACAAAGAAGGACATTAACAATAAAAGGGGCAACTAAACAAGATGACAGAACTATAAACATATGTATCAAAGTCAGAGCTCCTAGACACACAAAACAGAGAGGACTGAAGAAAAAAATAGATGGCAACAGTAATATAGGATTCTCACTACCCCATTTTCAATAATGGACAGAACAACCAGACAAAAGATCAATGAAAAATAAAAGACTTAACACTGCACCCAACAACAGCAGAATACATATTCTTTTTAAATGTACATGAAACATTTTCCAGGCCACAAAACAACTCTTAAATTTTTAAAATTGATTTTTAGAGACAGGAAAAGAGAGGGACAGAAACATGAATCCTCTGCAACCTTCTCACCCGCCCTGCTGAGGATCGAGCCTGCAACCTGGGCATATGCCCTGACCAGGAATCGAACCTTTTGGTTCATGGATGGACGCTTAACCACTGAGTCACACCAACCGTGCAAGTCTTAATAAGTTTTTTTAAAAATTGAAATAAAGTATATTTTCTGGTCACAATGAAAAGAAACTAGAAATCAACAGAATGAAAACTAAAAATATCCATAAATATGTGGAAATTAACACTTTAAGAAACCAATGGGTTAGAGAACAAATCACAAGGGAAATGAGAAAGTACGTTGAGACAAATTAAAACATAACATTTCAAAACTTATGGGATGCAATGAAACAGTGTCAAGAGGGAAATTTATAGCTATAAATGCTTATGAGAAGTCCCCAAATCAAAAACTTACAAGAACTAAGAAATGAAAAACAAAGCTAGCAGAAAGAAGGAAACAATGATCAGAGAGAATAAAATGAAACCAAGATTTGTTTTTTAAAAAGATCAATAAAGTTGGCATATCTTTGGGTGGATTGATAGAAAAAAATAGAAGACCCAAATAACTAAAATCAGAAACAATTCAGGGGACATTACTATCAATTTTAGAGAAGGAAGACTACTATGAATGATTGTACACCAACAAATTGGATAACCTCCATGAAATGAATACATTCCTAGAAACAAAACCTACCAAGATTGAATTATGAAGAAATAGAAAGTCTGAATAGACCTATTCAGTAATAGTAACAGGACCGAATCAGTAATCAAAAACCTCTCAAAACAAGTCTATCTCAACTTTTAAAAATCATTATTGTTGAAAGTATTACAGATGTCCCCTTTTTCCCCCCATTGACCCCTTATAGCCTGCACCCACCCCCTGACCTAGGCCTTCACCACACTATTGTCTGTGTCCATGGGTTATGCATCTCTCTCTCTATAAAAGCCTAATATGCAAAGTCCCTGCGGGAGTTTGACTGGGAGACCAATCGCTTGCTATGATATGCGCTGAGCACCAGGGGGTGCAGAACAAAGGGAAGCCCCAGCCGGCAGCTGGGGAAGAGAGGACCCGACTGGCAGCCAGAAGGCCCCCCCCCCCCCAATCAGGCCTAATCACCGGCCAGGCCTAGGGACCCTACCCATGCATGAATTTCATGCACTGGGCCTCTAGTATGCATATAAATTCTTTGGTTAATCTCTTCCCACTCGCCCACCACCCCCTTCTCTTTGAGATTCGATAGTCTGTTCCATGCTGCTATGTCTCTGGATCTATTTTGTTTATCAGCTTATGAACAAAGGGGGGGTGGGGGGATTCTTAACAAAGAAAAGCCCTGGACCAGAAAGCTTCACTGGTGAGTTCTACCAACTATTTTTTTAAAAAGCCAACACCAATTCTTCTCAAACTCTTCCAACGAAATTTAAGAAAAGGGAACACTTCCTAATACACTCAATGAGATTAGCATTACCCTGACATCAAAGCCAGGCAAAGACTATTAGAAAACTATAGGTCAGAATCCTTGATGAACAATGATGCAAAAATCCTTAGCAAAATACCAACAAACCAATTCAATAACACATTGAAAAATATATACACAACCAAGTGGGATTTACTCCTGGAATGTAAAGATGGTTCCACACGAAAATCAATGTAATAAACCACGTAAGTAAAATGAGGGACAAAACCATAGGACCATCACAAATTTATGCCAAAAAAAAGCACTTGACAAATTTCAGCATCCTTTCATGATACATTCAACAAGAAACTATCTCATGATAATAAAAGCCCACAGCTATTATTATACTCAATGGTGAAAGACTAGATTTTTCCTCTAAGATTAGAAACAAGACAAGAATGTCCACTTTCACTCCTATTCAACACAGTATTGGTATTCTAGTCAGATGATTAGAGCAAGAAAAAATAAAGAAAGCAAGATAACCAAATTAGAAAGGAAGAAATAAAGTTATCTATTTTCAGAGACATGATCTTATATGTAGAAAACCTTAAAGAATCAAGCAAGAAAAAGAGAAACATTAGAATTAGTAAATGAATTCAGCAACATTGTAGGATACAAAATCAACACACAAAAATCAGTTGCATTTCTATACACTAACAATGAGAAACCTGAAAAGGAAATTAAGAAAATTCCATTTACACTAGAATCAAAAGAATAAATACTTAGAAACAAACTTAACTATAAAAGCCAAAGACTTGTACACTGAAAATTACAAAATGTTGCTAAAAGAAATTAAAGACGCCAATTAAGTGGAAAGACCCTGATTTCATATATTGAAAGACTTAAAATGGTTAAGAAAGAATGAAAGAACAAGAAAGAAAACAGTTGGAGGTCTCAAACTTCCTGATTTCAAAACTTACTACATGCCCTGGCCAGGTAGCTCAATTGGTTGGAGAGTTATCCCCATACACTAAAGGTTGCAGGTACTATATCCTGGGTTAGGGCACATACAAGAAGAACCAATGAATGCATAAATAAGTGGAACAACAAATCAATATTTCTCTCTCTCTCTGAAATCAATAATGAAATTAAAAAACAAAACAAAACAGCATCAAGGTAGCCATACAGAACAATGGAATAAGACAGCTCTTATGTCCAATGATTTTTAACAAGGGTTTCAAATCCCTTCAATGGGGAAAGAACAGTTTTTTGTTTTTTGGTTAATCCTCACCAGATGATATTTTTTACATATATATTTTTCTTTTTTTAGAGAGAATGGAAGGGAGGGAGGAAGGGTAGGAAGAGAGAGAGAATGTCAGTGAGACAGCGAAGCATCAATATCAGAGAGAGAAACATCGATGTGAGAAAGACACATTGATTGGTTGCCTCCCGCACTCGGGGATCGAACCTGCAACCCAGGTACCTGCCCTTGACTGGGAATTAAACACATGACCTTTTGGTGCGTGGGCTGATGCTCTAACCTCTGAACAACACTGGCCAGGGTAGGGAAAGGGCAGTTTTTTCAACAAATGGTGCTGGTAAAACTAGATATCTACATGCATGTGAATGAAGTTGGATCCTTACCTTACACCATCTATAAAAACTACCTCAAAATGGATCAAAGACCTAAATATAAGACCTAAAACTATACAATTCTTAGAAGAAAACACAATGGAAAAGCTTTGTGACATTGGATCTGGCAATGATTTGGATATGACACCACAGGCAACAACAATAAAAATAGATAAACTGGACTTTACCAAAATTAAAAACTTTTGTGCATTAAAGGACACTATCAACAGAGTAAAAAGGCAGCAACCTACAGAATAGGAGAAAATATTGCAAATCTCATTTGACATGAGATTAATATCCAGAATATAGAGAGAACTTCCTACATTGCCCAACTGAATTAAAACATGGGCACATGACTTGAACAGGCATTTCTCTAAAGACATACATATGGACAATAAGCACATGAAAAGATGCTCAACAATAATCTTTATGCAAATTCTTTGGTTAATCTCTCTTTTGGTTAAAACCACAATGAGATAACATTTCACATCCATTAGGATTACCATTATTTACAAGCCGGAAAATAAAAAGTATTGGCAAAGATGTGGAGAAACTGAAACCCTTGTGAACTGCTGGTGGGAATGTAAAGTGGAATAGCCACTATGGAAAAGAGTATACTGGTTCCTCAAAAAATTAAAAATATAATTACCATGATCTGGCAATTCCACTTTTGATATTAAAAGCAGGGACATATGCCAAAACCGGTTTGACTCAGTGGATAGAGCGTCGGCCTGTGGACTGAAAGGTCCCAGGTTCGATTCCGGTCAAGGGCATGTACTTGGGTTGCGGTCCCATCCCCAGTAGGAGATGTGCAGGAGGCAGCTGATCGATGTTTCTCTCTCATCGGTGTTTCTGGCTCTCTATCTCTCTCCCTTCCTCTCTGTAAAAAATCAATAAAATATATTTTTAAAAAAAATAAAAAAATAAAAGCAGGGACATAATGGAGTCAAGATGGTGGAGTAGATAAATCCTGAACTCCCATGAACAAATCAAAATTATTGTTAAATTATAGAACCACCAGACTGAGAACCACCTGAGGATTAGCTGAACAGAATTCCTGTAACTAAGGATATAAAGCAGCAGCCACATCAAGATGGAGAGGAGGGGCAGAGGCATGGTGCAGGCAGGTCCCACACCCACAGTGTGGTAATTAATAAATGGAGGAACATCTCAGGTTGCCCCTGAGATGAGAGAAGGGTCCAAGCCTCACACAGAGCTCCCCAGCCTGGGTCAACTATGATGGTAAGAGGAGTCCCCTAACA